AGGTCAGAAGGTAAGAAGAACTATGCAGGAAAATAAAGTTGAGTGAAAGGGACAGAGAGTGTGGGAGAAGAGCACATTATAATGTTTAAGCATTCTTACAAAGTACTATATTTGTTTAAAAAAATCACAAAACCTTCAAACAGTACAGAAGACTAGACAGTTAAAACACGAAAGCTCCTCCCTATCTTAACCCAACCCCACTTCCCAGGGGCACCTGCAGTTAACAGTTTGGGAGTATATATATTAACGCTGGAGTCTTCCTATATTAACTGTCCTGTTTAAGTCCCCCGTTACTACTTCCACTTAAAATATTTTTATTTATTTATTTATATTTAAGATTACATTTAGCTTTTTTATTATAAGTAATACAGGTCCTAACAGAAAAAAATTTAAAAATAACCAAAACGCATGTAAGCTACACTCATAATACCACCCACCCAGCATCATTACAACCTCCATTTTCTCCTGAGAAACCTAGAACCTGAAATGGCAAGTATAGTAACATGTTCCATTTCCACAGCTACTAAACAGTGACTTCTCAGTTCAAACTTGGAACTCCTCTGTCTCCAAGCCTCCCATTTAAAAAAAAAAAATGATTATAGGAAATTGTAAAATACAGAAAAGCAAAAAAAGAAAACAAATTACTTTTATTGATACTATTTATCTTTACAAAGCGAATAATTTTGTGCATGCATATCATTTTGAAATCTGCTTTTCTTACTTCACTATATACCATTAACATTTTTCTGACATTAAAAATTGTTCTACGATTGTGGTTTTTAATGGCCATAATATATATAACCAATTTATGTGCCATTACATATTTAACCAATCCCTTTATGTTTGATTTTTCCAAGCTATTTCCATTTTTTTGACATTATAAATAAGATTCTACAAACATTTTTGTACGTAAATCTTTATGGGCATCTATGATTATTTCCTAGCATAAATTCCAGGAAGTAGAATTGCTGGGCCAAAGTTTACATACAATTTAATAATTTTAAAACATATTGCCAAATTGACCCTCAAACATATTGTATTATTTCACATTCATATTAGTGAGCCTAGGTGCCTATTTCACTGCACTCCTGACAGAAACAGCATGTTATTTTAATTTCCATTTTTAGTTAAGGATAGACATTTTTTCTTCATTTTTTGCTGGGGGGGTGTTTCTTAACTGTTTTCTGTTTTTCTTTCTTTCTTTCTTTCTTTTTTTGAGGAAGATTAGCCCTGAGCTAACTGCTGCCAATCCTCCTCTTTTTGCTGAGGAAGACTGGCCCTGAGCTAACAGCCACACCCATCTTCCTCTACTTTATATGTAGGATGCCTGCCAAGCCGTGCCAGTCCACATCCGGGATGAACCAGTGAACCCCAGGCTGCCAAAGTGGAACAGGTGCACTTAACCGCTGCACCACCAGGCCAGCCCCTTATTTCTGTTTTTTATTGGATAAACTCATGCTTTGTTCTTTACTAGAGATTCCAGACTTTTGGATTTTGGGAACCAGATAGATCTGAAAAAATTGGGGGATGGAGGGAACAAAACTTTCTCTATCGAGAAAACATATAAAATTAAAAACAATTACTCTTAGCATCCTTTTAAAAGATGGGCAGAGGAGCATTTTAACAGAAAAAAGTAAGAAAGATATATTCACAGATATATCACAGAAAGATGTATTTATTCAACAAAGGATGGTTCTTCCCAAGAAAGAGTGGTTGGCAATAGTTGCTATCTTTCTGGGATTGGAGGAATTTTTGTCGAGGTTCAGACTGACAGTCCCCGTGGCAGGATTTAGGAACGATTGTGCTCACCACGCTGCAAATCTAGGTCTCAGTCTCACTGGAAAAACGAGGTGGGGACACTAATGGGGAGATCTAAGAAAATTCTTCCTATCCCTGAATTTCAAGCCAGTTCTTTCATATGTAGTCTAAACTTAATTATCTATTTGAGAGTTGTAGTGTATGTATCCATTTATCATTGGCTTTTGGAATAGATTTTTGATTTGCTTTTTTTAAAAAAAGTGTATGTAATCTTACAGAAATTAGCTTTAAAGACTAAACATCAGGGCCGGCCACATGGCCGAGTGGTTAAGCTTGCACGCTCCGCTTCAGCAGCCCAGGGTTTCCCGGGTTGGATCCTGGGCGTGGACATGGCACCGCTCATCAAGCCATGCTGAGGTGGCATCCTATATGCCACAACTAGAAGGACCCTCAACTAAAATATGCAACTATGTACTGTGGGGATTTGGGAAGAAAAAGCAGAGAAAAAAAATAAAAAAGATTGGCAACAGTTAGCTCAGGTGCAAATCTTTAAAAAAAAAAAAGACTAAATATTGTAATAAAAAGTGGCAACTTCCCCGCTGCTCGCGAACTCCTCATCCCACAGGCAAAATACCTTTGGATAGAACCCTTAAGAAGGTTTCAGCATCTGATTTCGGGATTCCTGAGGATTTACCTTTCATGAAGAAAATTTATTTTTCTGAGTTGTTGCATCTTACATGTGTCAGATTGTTTTTCTCTCTATAGATTGGATCAAAGAAGAAAAGTGACAATTTCCCTTACCGAAGTCAATGAATGAAGAGACAAAGATGTCTTAAAAATGGCCACTTAAGGGGCCGGCCCACTGGCACAGTGGTTAAGTTCAGTGCGTTCCACTTTGACAGCCCAGGATTTGCAGGCCCAGATCCCAGGCACGGACCTACACACTCATCAAGCCATGCTGTGGTGGCATCCCACATACAAAACAGAGGATGATGGGCACAGATGTTAGCTCAGGGCCAATCTTCCTCACCAAAAAAACCCCACAAAAAACAAGGCCATTTAAAACTAGTCACCATGTTCCAGTGTCTTGTCCCTAGCTTTGCAGAACAAAAACTTCAATTTTGTCAATGTACCCAGATCATATCAAATTTTTAGCAACTGACAAAAGTAGTAGTACTACTACTACCACGAGGAAACATTTACCGAACACTCAGTATGTGCTAGACACTGTGCAATGTTACTTCATTTGCCTTATCTAATCCTAACAACAACTCTCTGAGATAGGTACTATTATTAAACCTCATTTTGCAGATGAGGAAGCTGAAGTAGCAGGAGATTAAAAACTCAGTCAAGGGCCAGCAGCTATTAATTAAATCGTGGAGCCAAGTTTCAACCCCAACTCTGTCACACTCCATGAGCTTATGCTCTTAATCCCTATACTATAACACTTCTCCTAAGAAAAGGATTTATTAACTGAAATCATTTTGATTAATTTACAGTAGAAGATAGTCATTTTCAGGGAACTCAGTGTCTTGAATGATATTTCTCTAAGTACAGCCGAGAGCTGGTTATTAACACAGGTTCTCTCCTTCCAAGATAGTGCTGCATAAACTGCTAAACTCTAAGTGTAAGCTAGTTTAGCTCTCTCTGGTTAAGACACCAAGCTGATCAAGTCCCTTTCGTTAGTATTCTTTCCTCAGAGAAGGAACAACACAATTGATTAGTTTAGGGCTTGATGATTTTACAGTTTCACATCTTTGAATGCAATCAGATATTCCTCAGAAAGCCTCACTCTTCCCAGTTGTTTTACTCTCCTAAAACACCCATTTGGGTAATTTTTGTATCAGTGGGGCACTCTTGCTTTACATTTTTCCTCTTCCTAGTTTCATTCTTTGAAATTGGTCAAAGTACTGGCATTCTTTAACAGTTGCTCCCCCCCGCTCCCCGCCATACTTTAGTGCTGATTGTAGTCCAGGACCTGGCTAATGAGAAGTTAATTTCTTTATACAATGTGAAAGAATTACAAACATGCTGCTAAAACTTTTTCCTTCCCAGAATTTCTTAACAGCATTCTAAAAGGGAATAGAAGATTATGAAATGCTCAAAAAAGAAAAGAAAGTTGAACATAGCTGTTTGGATTGACCTATAGTATATAAATATACACCACATACATAAATACATATTAAAAGACTAGTGTTTGTAGCTACAGACTATTTCTTTACATTAAAAATCAATATGTGTACAAAAGGTCTAAACTTGTTTTTCTTGTTTTAAGGTTTCACATCTAAGCTAAAATGGTGACAATTACTTAAAAGTGAAACTAAAATGGAGAAGAAAATAAGATAAAAAGTGAACTACTTTTTTAATGCTTCCCTGAAAATACCGAATCTAGGAAATGCAGATAAATTTTGAAAGCTGCTGTAAAAGGTTTAAGAACTAACTCGCCCTTCCTAAACTAATATTATCATCAATATTTAACAACAGTAATATGTTAAAAATTTTCCAACACTTCCTATTAGGAAATTAGGAAATACTGAAATATTTGTTGAATTGAATTAAGTAGCTTTCACATTCAAATTGAATCTGGGAATGTGATCTTAATTTAACACACAATCACAGACAGAAATTTATGTGGGTGAAACTGATTTCAAAAGAATCAGCAGGAATAAAAGTGCTCTGTACAATAAAATCTCCCTGATTTGGATTGATGCTTAGTGAAAAGAATTGGTTATGTGTTCTTAGAGAAGAAGTACTCAGTATAATGGTGTACGGAAATAGTATACAGTACTATTATTTTTTTACGGCAACTAGTTAACACAGCCCGGCTTAGAATTGGTCCTCCTTTACTAGAGATAATATGTAATTAGCTTATCAAAACACCTGTCTCACAGAGGCAGGCAAGCCACTCAGGGTTTACCCATTTTCCTTGAATGTGCTTGAAAGCAGTTTGTTATAAGTTGGAAAATTGCTTCTTTTCATATTGTTTACACTATTATTTGCTTAGAAATTCTCTTTCGTACAACAGACTTTGTATTCAGAGCCAAAAGATATTTATTGAGGCCTAAGAGGAGCTATCCAGTATAAGTGCTATCTTTCAATAAGTTATCTACGCTTTGAACAACAGCAATTTTCATAAATTCTTAACAGAAGAAAGAAATTAGTGAGGCTTTACAAAGTTGATAGTCTATCTTTCAGGGAGTATCATAGTCTATCTTTCAGGGAGTATATAAAACGATCTTTACCGTTTAATCCTTTTGAGAAGAAGCCTGTTAAGTAGATAGCAACAAAAATCAATAAGACTAACGGAGAACAAATATACTCTATAGAACTTCTATTTTTTTGCTGGAGATTTTTCTTGAGATAGACTAATTCTTTCCATAATTTGATAAATCTGAAAGAAATATATATGTATAAATTCGTAGCATTACCCAGAGAGAATCCATACTTTATTCACCTGAATAAAGCTTATCCTACTAAGCCGCCTTTCTCCTGTACTCTATCCCACACCTATACATACCAAGTGAAGTTAGAGCGGATAAAAAAAAAAGAATTACAAATACCTAAGGATTTCCTCTTTTATGTGGAAGATTTCCAACTCGTGTATTCCAAGTACTTACAGTGTAATGTCTTTTTTTGTGGATGGTAAAAAAGAAGTTAAATCTGTATTCGTAGAGTTGGTGTCTGGCAAATACATTGTATAAAATCAAAACTGGATTTTAAGCGAGTCTAAATTAAAGATTTTCATTTATTTGACATATAGAGCGGCTGAGCAGCAAGGCTGCTACTCAAAGACGACTTGAGAAAGTACCAGTCTTCAGGATCTGAGTATTAGTGAATGAGACGTGTTACTATAACACAGAGCAGAAAGCACTAGAAGGGAAGCACAAATAAATTACTTTGTGCATCAAATGCAAATAATTTCAGAATTGCCACGAGCCAAAACGCTTAAATGATTTAGGGTTTTGTCACAATCAATACAACACGAAAAAAAAAATCTGCATTCCTTTGTCCCCCAGACTCCAAGAACTCGGACCGTGTTGGTGAAAATTGGCAGCTGATTCTGATGGGTCTGAAGGGTCGGTGCAGGGCGGGCGGTTCCTGGGGGCATTACCCCCTTGAGGCCTATGGGGTTCATGGAGTTCTCACCCTGGCCAAACTCCCGATTACCTCCGATGAGCCCCAAAGGTCACTGAGTAGCAGTCTAGGCCGGGTCCCCCAGCAGAAAGGCGGCGACGGCTGCAACATGAGCGGTTAAATTTTACAGCCTTTCATAAGGCCGGGCTAATGCACCTGTAGTAAGATTACCAGAGCTCACGGCGCCTAGATTGGGAAAAATCAAAGGGGGGAGGGAGAAGGAAAGGAAAATAAGGAGGGTACAGGAAAAGGGGGAGGGGAAGGGGCGGGACACCGCGGGAAAGGCCAAGGGTTTACAGGCGAGATCCCGGCGTTCCCATGGAAACGTATCCCTCCGCCCGGCGTCTTGGTCTCTCCACTTCCCTCCGCGCCGGTTCTCGGCTGTTTCCGCCCATCTCCTTTGTGCCGCGCAGAACGTTGAGCTGACGCATGCGCAAAGAAACCCAGCCGCCGCATATATAAGCGTGAGCCCAGGCTTTTCCTTGTAGTGCCGCCGGGACCGTTGGCTAGTGAGTCGGTGCTGCGGCTTTTGCGTTACTTGATTCCTGGGCACTGTGAGCTAAAAGAGCGGAGCTCGTGGGCCGGTCATCATGTCGCGTTACGGGCGGTACGGAGGAGGTAAGGGGCTAGGGCCCAGTGAGGGACGTTGCTGTGGGCGTAGTGAGTGTTGCGAGGCCGTGGGGTTGGCGCGGCTGTTGGGAGACGGTTATTCCGCGTGCGTAATGGCGGCTTCGGCGCACGCCATACGAAGCCGGAGGCAGCGGGGGCGGGGTGTCGAAGGAAGACGGGCTGGCGGGGGTCGTTCTGTGCCGACTTACACGTTAATGCTTGGGCATTTTCGTCTCCCGCCCCAGCCCAAGCCAGGCCCACGATTACTGTTTTCGTGCTGCCCTTCTTCGAACCGGCCGCCTGCGCACCCCCCCCCCCCCCCCCCCCCCCCC